ACTATTTGACAGGCAAAGTTCGAGGACTCATTCATAAGTTCTATGTTCTTCGAGATTTTTTGTACAGAAAACTACTCCTACAAGTATACAAATCGTTAGTAGAATCATTGCTTAGATATGGCCTTATAATACGGGGTATTTTAAGAATAATTTACAGAAAGGACAAACTATATCCTACTAGAGAGTTATATAACAATGAAATTAGCGACATATCATTGCTATACATACACTCAGCATGCTCATTTACCCATAAGAACAAAAATACTCAACCATATGTAAAACTTAACCACAACACAAGTCAAATATCTAACAACTTTCTTGCTCTACCTGAAAAAATAATCAAACAATTCATCTTAAGTTTCTTAATTATGTAGCCCCAAAATTGTATAATTTATTGCCAAGTGTAATAAGATCAATAAATAACTTCAATTTGTTTAATAAAAAATCCAAATAATATATTACTATCCACAGGAACACATTTGTTCAGATACTTTCTCAAAAGTTGAGTTCTCGGGAAAATGTTTTAAGTTGCTAGTTTTAGGTAAGAATATATATGTATGGTATGCTATGTGGATTACTGTTAAACCAGGACAGAAAATAAAAATATGATTACTGATATAAAAAAAAATTGTAACCTCAAGATATTATGCTTATAGGTATGATTATAGATAAATTATATATGATACATAAGGTATCTAGGTACTCAACAAATATTTTTTACATTATATAATTGTAAATTGACAAATAATTTTCTGTTTACATATATATTTTTAATAAATTTTGAATTTGAATTTGAATTTGTTGCAAATAATTGATGTCGTCCATGGGGAGTCATCAGCAAGCCAGATGACCTGTAGATAATTTCTCCATGTCGGCAACGTAGGGCGTCCAGGACAGACGCGCTTTAACCACGGCTCGCAGGACATTTATTACTATTATTGATTGAGGCGTCAATTACTGATGATACCTTTAACCGAATTGAATGATGCGCTTATGATTTATTCATCTGGCGCCTCTAATTAACGCACTCCGCACCGGGGTATAACGCAACTGGCGGATGCACAACATTGACCATTTTGTCTCTTTGTTGATAGAAAAGTTGAGATTTTGCGAAAGACCAGAAAAACCAGAACCGAGTGGAATGTTTTATTGGTAAACACGCACATAAAGCAGAAAAGCTGGCGTATTTTGGAGCAATTTCCAGCGAGTGCTCTTAACTCTAGGGCCCGCTCGCGGCCTTCCAGATAACACTTTCAAAGTGATAAATAACAGAAATTCAGCGTCGGTTCACTGCGACACCGCCAAATAAATAATATTATTAATATATAAAGCGGCTTTTAAATAGCGGTTGTAATTAGTTTTGTAATTAGTGCGCATTCCGAAACACCTGCGATCGAGAATTTGTGGCAGCATCGTTGTCTCTCTACCCTTCGGATATTTTTATCGGTTGCGCCTCGGCAAGAACATCGAAAAATGTGCATGTTGAAGTAGGCCTGGGTAACTCAATGAATTTTTAGGAGTTGGCGCAGTGCTGCGCCCACCCAACGCACCGGCGCAATCGCTCAGCTCCGTTCCTGGGAAAATGTTGATGACTTTTTTAGTTGTTTCAGATTTATTTTAATGGCCACTTATAAATAATATTTTGAAAATTTCTCCAAAATTTCAGAATTTTCCTGTTTATGGCCAGGTACTCTTTCTTCTAAATGCTCAATTTTCTAAAGCTTTACTTAAAAATGCTGACACTTTTAAGGTATTTTCCGCAGATGTCTTTTTTCCAAGCCGAAATCTGACACCGGACATGCAAGAACGGTGTTTTTTGTCCCGAAAACCAGTCGGGAAAATCAGACTGAGTCTATTCGATGTTCAAGAGTTTCCGTTAATTGCGCGTTATTTTTTCCGTTTTCCGATGAATCAAATTGTATTGACTTTTGCAGACATTCGGACTAAATTTTGGCGTAAACTTCTCTGAAACAGTTCATGGCGAAAAATTGATGGATTAGAGATCATTCTTACCAGCTTTTTGCAAGCTGGCGCCCCATCCTCCACTTTCTGCACATTAATCCTTTTAAGGTATTTTCCTCGAAAAATTATGAAATAAATTTCGCATCCTTCGTCGCTTTGTGAAAAGTTTTGAAATCACTTTCCAGCCTCGGATTTGGAACAAAAATTACATAATTTCCTATCAAAAAACGAACTGAATAAGCGAAAGTTTATAATAAATTATTTGGAAAAATTGTCACTTTTATTCCTTTGACGACTGTAGAGTGCTACTTTGAGTTGATCTATTACTTAATGCTCCTTTTTTAGCACGAAATCGTTTTTGGCGTTCAGCATTACTTAATACTTTTTATTCGAATGAATCACAAAGTGCCATTTTGCGAACAGAAGCGATGATCAAAAAGAAGCACTTTTCTTTAGCGTTCATTTTTTTTACTTTTACGCACGGACTTTGCCGCACAGTGTGCGACAAAGTAAATGTGACACTTTGAACTTGCCACTATCATTATATATTTTTTAGTATTTTTATTTAAAAATAACCGAAATGCCTTTTTAAGGAATTACATAGGTTTATCAACAACTATTGATCGTATTTTCAAGTTTACTTACAATTTGTAAATTATAACTTTGTTACAAGTTCAGTCTCATAATCGTTTTAATGGCCTACTTATCTACTTTTGCGATGTTGTCACACGTAAAACACGATCTTTTTAAGAAGCGCAAATGTCATGCAGAGTATGCAACATGCATACACCATCCCAAGACCACAGGTGTTTCAAGTTGAAAAAGTACTTAAACTTAATTACAAACTTCAAAACATGACATTTCAAAAAATGACATTGCCACAAAATTTTAAATATGAAATCGATGCATTTTATTATTCGTGTAATCTTTCATTCGAATAAAAAATAGTGTTCGATACGAGGGCGAAAATTTGTTTTTCGAACTCCTGACGGATTGTATCGAAAACTACTATTTCGCATTATAGCATGTTTTTATGACTGCTCTTGTATATGTTGTTCATGAATGTCTGCTACAAGTCGTATCTGAATAGGACTAAAAAAAAATAATTAATTTTGGTGATTGAAGACGTTTTATCTGTTTAAAATAGACGGTAAAACTAAGAAGAACCATAGAGACTGGATACAGTTGATACGCTATATGTATACATAATGTAAGCCATCGCGCGTATGCTCAAAAAAATATTCTAACTGAACTAATCCAAGGCTAAAAAAATTAAACTAAATTAAGAAGATTTAATCATAAAGGAATCAAAGGGTACATGAAGGGAAAAAATCTATTTTGATGAGTGGTAAACACAATTAATCCTAGAAATAATATAGAGAATTGAAAATATGCCCTAGTAAATTCGTTTTACATATTTTGCAACTATAAGCTGAAGGGAGATTCGTATCGTCTTAACATCAAGAATGCGTTGCGGGATAGAGAATAAGAAGACGGAACCGATGTTTTCTGAAATAACCGAGGTAAACTCAAATATTTTTCAATTAAATTCAAAACATATTTATTATATATTATTACAAAACAGTAATGATGTTTATCATTTTATTAAATATGAAATATTACAAAATAGATATCTAAATATTGATTATTTGTTGTTACAAAATAAAATAACAAATAATAGAACATATTATTGCATTAAAAGTTATTAATAATAGTTGTGAC